ATAAAAACAAAGACTCCAAAATTCTACAGAAATATTTTCATTAATAAATAAAATACAACAAATAAATACAATAAAGGTTGTTTGCCGTGCACAATATTAAGCAAGCTTGACCAAAAACCTATAGAATTAAAATTAAGTGTAAGCATAGCTAAGTTCCTTAGCTATGCTTTGCACACAGAACAATGACACTAGCCAAACCGGTTAAGAAACAAAAATAATTCTCAGCGACTGCACCCATTACAAAAAAAAAAAGACTGAAACTGAAAAGTTCACAGAATTATTCAATCACACAGTGTTCTGAAAGTGCATTTTTCACTATTCTGCACTTTAGATAAAGGACTGCTTAGGTGCCACTGGTGGTGGCACTGCATCGATACTTTTAGAAGCGAGTATTGTATCCGGATACAACATTTCAGTATCGATACTTTTTTGAGAATCGATACTTTTGACAATCCTAGTCAGGACTCTAATAGGCGGAATACATTAGTATATTTTTTTATCTGAATTTTAACTGAAGTGAATTTTTAGCTTTAAAGTAGAATTTTCTAGCAGATTAAAGCCATTCTAAAATTAAATTGAACATTAATTAGCAAATTTAGTCAGTCAGCTCATACAAAATAAATCATACCTTTGCCCAGAGCGGGTCGATGAGAATAGCACGTTTCGCATCACCTGCTGCTTTTCTAGTAAAAGAGAAGGAAAAGTTTGTTGTTGGAGAGAAAAAACTTTGAAAGTTTATACAAAATATTTAGATTCTTCCAGACCTGACCTACAGCATTGCACGTCTGACCACAGTGGGAATTTTATTTGATTAATCAATCTTATTGATCTCACAGTGGAGATATTCAGTTCACATCAGCTCAAATAATCAAAAAAAAGAAGGTGCCAAAAGAAAAGAAAGTTGCATGGGATATATACACTATATACAGTGCGTCCACATGTGACAGCTATTTTTTTTTATAGCAGGATTATTGTACAGGGTGTTAACATGGGTATAGATGGATATTTATATATATATATAGTTAGTGCACAGAGTGTTAAATATAGAGAAACAGGTTGTTGCATTGGGTTACTATGAAATAGCAATTGCATATTATACAGTTATTGCCGTTGTAGTGTTGCATTGTAGAGTCTGGTTGCAGCAGGGATGAATGACCTGCGGTAGTGTTCCTTTTTACAAACCGGGTGTGAAAGTTTTTCACTAAAGGAGTTTCTCAGCTCCTCTACAGTCTGGGGGGCCCCGGTATTTCAGGCTGCCACCTCTGACTGACAGCCGTGTAGCCGCACGTACTGAGGGCGCTCTGTGAGGTAGTTGATGGTAAAGGCATTTTTGAGTTCTGCAGACACTACCATTGTTTTTGTTTCTGTCACAAACTAGACTTGTTCAGGTGCAAAGCCTCAATGACTCAATGCAATCGCCAAAGTTTGAAAAATAAACTGAACTTGGCTGCATTGTTTAATACAGGGCTTAAAGCTAAGGAAAATCCCGAGTCTGATCTTTTTTCGAGAAGGCTGGGGGTATTTTAAAAGGCTTAATGGGAAGATTTAGCCAAAAAAAAGAGGCTATTCCTTCGTTGAATGGATGATAATTTATATGGTATTATTAAACATTTTGTGGACCAGTTTTAATGTCTTGTGAACATTTACAAATGACAATGTAAACTACAGATTGTCATAGGGTTAGCAAAGACATCAGAATATGATACAACATTGCAATATCGGGATACTGCAATGTATTGCAATGTTCTGAACTTGAGAGAGACTTAAAATGCAGCTTGAAATCTAAGTTGTGCTAATGTACATCCACCAGATAACTAAACAAAATAATTCAGAAATGGATTTCACTTCACCCATGTCCCATTTATTCATCTATTAAACTTGGACAGGTTTCTTTGCCACTTTGATCTGATAATAAACCTGTTAACTATCATCCTCCTGAAAATAAATATTTCTCAGTTTAGGAAAACTGTGACAATAAAACTAAATGCTTTATTGGTGGAGGAAAGAGAGCACCCCACTTGCATTTAGTCGCTATTCTATGACTTCTTTCGCTTCATGAGCAGTTGCTAAATACAGGTTAACAGAAGAAAACAAAACACCTTTAAAAAGGTCCCATATTATGCTGCATTTAGAGAATGAAAAACAATATTAACAATGAGGCTCAAGAGCATGCTTTTGCTGTTTAAGCAGGACAACTGCCCTTAGGTAAGACAGAAAGCATGAATCAAAAATCTCCTCATTCAGATTTCCCCTGAACAGGCCATTTTGGCTTCCCCCACCCCCATTTGTGAATCTCAAACACAGAATTCAGGAAATGTGAATATTACATGTTTACGATGCAAATTTAGCATAATATGAGACTTTCAAAATAGAAGGTATCTGAAATTATGCTTAAAGTGGTAGGGGAGCAGCTGTTCCAACTATTGCAGTTCCGAATTCTCCAGAGTGGTGCCCAACTTTACACGAGTGAATAAAGTGAATGTGATTGGTCGATTATCAAGGGGGCGGGATTGTTGTGGCGGAAGGTTCGCAAGCAAGTGTTCGGAAGCATCTTGCTAACCAGTTAGCAACTTAGTGCTAATAGGTTCCCAATAGGAAATCGCATTGGGACCAAGTAGCACTTAGCAACAACACTGTCAAGGAACGCTATGGACAGCGGAAACATGCAAGTAGAGGAAAATTTTGTGTCGGAGGTCGTGGATTAGGACGCCAGGGCGGCAGAAGTGTGGTTTGGTGTAGAAGGCTTATGTTTGAGCCCTTGCCTCGCAACGCTGCCAGTTCTGTTAGCTCTACACCTGCTGAAGACACAGACGTCCATCCCCGTGAACACTGGGACGGAACTCAATAGTAAAGTAAACGATTGTTATTGCAGATGACCGTTGATATTAAGGGTGTGCAAAATAATCGTCAAGACGATGCATCGCAATTCTAATTTTTGTGATCTACTGCATCGATTCTGGAAGGAAAGAATCGATTATAAAAAAAAAAAAAATGAACAAATAAAATACATGAATGGTTGGCGCACATCAGCCAAACCAAGTGGAATACAACTTCCAGTCCAGCAGATGTCGCTGCGGATGTGTTGACGCCTGCTACTTTGTGTCACAAGCATGTCCGGCCGTGGGATACTGCGATGAGTCATATGAAATAAAACATGGAGGACAGGACACTATGAAAATTCGCCCCCTGGCTCCATCACATTTCAAGTCAGATGCTTGGATGCATTTAGGCTTTCAAAATAAAGAAGGTAAAAATGAAATTGATATGATGCACGTCATTTCCAAAAGGGGAAACATACATTTGAATGTTTTCATTTCATTGGTTTAAAGGACCACTGAGGCCATGTAAACGGCACTGATTATCCTTATTTTGTTATTTTAAGTTTGATGAATCCTAAGATCTTTTTGTCAGTGTGTCCACGCCAGTAATAGTAATATTTGTGTTCAGTATTTGTTTTCATGGCAACACACAAAAGTCATTTCAATAAATACAGCTATGTATGAAATCAGTTGCTTTCAGTTTTGTATCAAATGAAGACACGATCACTGGGGAAGCCACTAGGAGAAGATTGGTTAACACTAGATCTC